ACATTCTAATGAGAGAATATAACACATGAAAGGGAGAGGGCAGGAGAGGGGGATGAGGTTGTCATACCTGGAGATATTCAAGATAAGACAAGGTCAGAACTGACCTCTTTAAGCTTAGGGTGGTTTCAGGGATGCAGTCTAGCTTTCTAGTGGAGAGGGAGTAGAAATGATGACCAGAGGGAATTGAGTGGAGAGAGCATGACTGGAGATGGCCAGCAGAGATGAGGCAGGAATACATTCCAGGCCTTGGATCAGCCTGCAGAAAAATGCATGAAGGTGGGAGATGATATGCTAAGTTCAGAGAACAATTAGTCATTCTGGTTTGGCTCAAAATAGTCTGAAAATGAGTAATATGAAATAAGGCTAATGGAAACTTAGAGCCACATTACAGAGAGCTCTAAATGCTAGGCTAAGGAGCTTTTGTTTTATCCTTTGAGCCGTAAGGCTACACTAGAGGTATCTGAGTATGGGGAAGTGACATGATCAGACTTGTGCATTAAGACAATGATTTTGGCAGCTGCTTGAAGAATATTTTGTCCCAAAGAGATCATACAAATGAGAAAAGGACCCACATGTACAAAAATATTTATAGCAGCTCTTTTTATGGTGGCAAAGAATTGGAAATTGGGGGATGCCCATCAATTGAGGAATGGCTGAACAAGTTGTGGTATATGAATGTATTGGAATACTATTGTGCTATAAGAAATGATGAGCAGGCAGACTTCAGAAAAACCTGGAAAGACTTGTATGGTCTGATGCTGAGTGAAGTGAGTAGAACCAGGAGAACATTGTACACAGTAACAGCCACATTATGTGATGACTAATATTGATAGACTTAACCCTTCTCAGCAATACAAGGATCTAAGACATCTCCAAAGGCCTCACGATGGAAAATGCTATCCACATACAAAGAAAGAATTATGGAATTTGAATGCAGATCAAAGCATTCTATTTGCAATTTTTTTTCTTCTGTTGTGTTTTGTTTCCTCTTTCTGGTGGTTCTTCCTGTTAGTTCTAATTCTTACTTACAACATCACTAATGTGAAAATGTGTTTAATAGGAATGTATTGTACAGCCTATATCAAATTATGTGCCATCTTGGGGAGGGAGGTGGAGAAAAATTTAAAACTCAAAAGCTTATGGAAGTGAGGGTTGATAAATCAAAATAAAATAATTTTAAAAAATAATATTTTGGAGACTGGATGGATTGGAGGCAGAAAGACCAGTTAGGGGGCTCTTGGGATAGTTCAGACAAAAAAAAAATACTAGGCTTGAACCAGGGTAGTAACAGTTTGAGTGGAGAGAAGGGGATGGATGTGAAAGATACTGTGGAAATAGAATGGACAGCGTTTGGAAACTGATTGAATGTAGCCAAAGAGAAGAAAAGGAAGAGTCAAAGATAACTGAGAATACCTGGGTGACCAGGAGGATGGTGATGCCATTGGTAGAAGGAGGTAAACTGAGGGGTGGGAAGATGGTCAGTTCAGTGTTAGTCATGTTAAGCTTGAGATTCTAGTGGGACATCTAGACAGAGACATTCTGCAAACAGATGTGAACCTGAATGAAACTCAGGACAGAGATTAGACTTCAGTATATAAATTTGAGAGTCAGTGGCATAGAGGTGGCTGAGAATTAAATCCTTGAGAGGAAATAAGATTTCTCAAGAAGAGATTATAATATAAAGAAAAAAGAGAAAAGTCCCAGGGGATAGAAAGGAAGGAAGGAAACCAGCATTTGCATAGTGTCTACTGTGTACCAGACACTATGCTTAGCATTTTATCAATATTGTCTCATTTGATCCTCACAACGACCCTGGGAGGTAAATGCTGTTATTATTCCTATCCCCATTTTACAGCTGAGAAAACTGAGGTAGACAGAAGTTAAGTGACCTGCCCAGGATCACTTAGGGGATGAGGAGATTGTGATAAACCATCAGAGAAGAATAATAAAAAGCTAAATAGTCAGATAGTTACAAAGAGAACCAGGAGAGAGTAGGGTCCTGGAAGGCAAAGCAAGAAACAATATCCATAATTGAGAGGATGCCCATCAATTGGGGAATGGCTGAGCAAGTTGTGGTATATGAATGTGATGGAATACTGTTGTGCTATAAGAATTGATGAACAGGCTGACATCAGAAAAACCTGGAAAGACTTGTATGGTCTGATGCTGAGTGAAGTAAGCAGAACCAAGAGAACGTTGTACACAGTACCAGCCACGTTGTGTGATGACTAATATTGATAAACTTAACCCTTCCTGGCAATACAAGGATCTAAGACATCTCCAGAGGCCTTGTGATGGAAAATGCTATCCACACCCAAAGAAAGAACTATGGAAGCCAAATTGTTATTTTTTTCTCTTCTGTTGAGTTTTGTTTCCTCTTTCTGATGGTTCCTCATATTGGTTTTAATTTCTACTTACAACATCACTAATCTGAAAATATGTTTAATATGAATGTAAATGTATAGCCTATATCAGATTATGCGCCGTCTTGGGGAGGGTGGTGGGGAGGAAGGGGGAGAAAAATTTTAAACTCAAAAGCATATGGAAGTGATTATTGATAAATCAAAATAAATTAATAAAAAAAAAGAAAGAAAAAAAGAAAGAATATCCAGGAAAATTCAAGGAGTTGAGTGCAGTAGAAGAGAGAACAAGGACGGAGAAGAGACTGTGGTATTTAAGTTAGAGCTCACAGGCAATCCTTGAAAGCACTTTCCTTCTCTTGCTATTTATCATTTTCCTTCCATTTTCCCCATTTCCCATTGGTGAAATCCTCCTGGTACCTCCATTTTGGGGAGGGGCTCAGACTGGCCCATTTTCATTTCTCTCTTCCATCTCCTTCTGACTTTCTGGACTTGGTCACTGTGCCCTCCCACAACCCTCTTTTCAGCTCCCTTTTTAAAAAGAATTTAATACAGTACACTGCAAAGACTCTGAGAAAAGGCCTGGATTTGGTGTCAGAGGCCCAATGTGACTCCTTACTTACTTCCTGGATGACCTTGACCAAGACCCCACTCAGGGGCTCATTTTTCTCCTCTCTAAAATGAGGGCTAAACTCAATGTCCAAGACCTTTCCCATTTTAAATCTATGAATGCAGGAAAACAAAATAACAAAAATTCAAATGTCCAGGGTGATTGAGAATCCCTTAGTTAATCCTGGTTCTTTATTTGGTTAACCTGGGAACCGGCCCGGTTTCCCACTATTCGCCTGAGGTCTCTTCTGTCAGATTTTATTCCTCAGTTCATCCCCCTAGCCAATGTTTTTCCTCACATACTCAAATGAATCTGTTTTCATCAATCCAAATACTCCCTCTGTGCAAGCCTATTAAAAGCCTGCTTTTTAGTAAAACTGAAAATATCTAAAAATAATCTTGAAGGTCAGGCAATGGATCAAGGGTGCTGACCAACACTAAGAACAGAAAGTACCTGTCTTCTTAAGAATCTTGTATCTTCGACCCTCTGAAGTGATTAGGTGGTCATTGTTCCATCTAAGGGCAATCTCCTCTTTCCACACTGCTGAAGTGAGTGGTGCTATTGGTGCCCCTTTCTCCACTGAGAAAGCATTAAGATATTGACTTCAGAGAGGAGGTCACTTTGTTTTCTTCTGGGGAATACTTGAGGGCAGTGGACAAAGAAGGAACTGAGGAGTGACTGTTGTTTGGAATGAATGTTAACTCAAAAACTGTATTTTCTTTTTGCTTTTTTGGTGAGGCAAATGGGGTTAAGTGACTTGCCCAGGGTCACACAGAGCTAGTAAGTGTCAAGTGTCTGAGGCCGGACTTGAACTCAGGTCCTTCTGACTCCAAAGCCAGAGCTCCATCCACTGCGCCGCCTAGCTGCCCCCAGAACTGCATTTTCACATCTTTTGCTTGTTTGTGATTCCTGTAAATGTTACCTCAAATCATCTCAGTGATAGAGACATGTCAGAAATCATAGGATCACTATGCCATTTTCTCCTCATCTGTCTAATCTAGAAATGACTTAAATATTAGATTAATGGTAAAATATATAAAATAGTTTCTTACATTTGTGCCCAAAAGTCTTTTTTTTGGGGGAGGGAGGCAATTGGAGTTAAGTGACTTGCCCAGGGTCACACAGCTAGTAAGTGTCTGAAGCCCAATTTGAACTCGGGTCCCCCTGATTCCAGGGCTGATGCTCTATCCATTGTGCCACTTAGCTGCCCAGCTAAGAGTCAGTATGGTATTAACATTTTACATTTCACAATGATACAGATCACAACCCTTCCTTGCTTGCCTCTCCTGTCAACTCTTAACCATGTCTTGTTCGTTTTCTCCCATAAGTTCACCACAAGAGTTCCACCCACAGTATATCTCCCACATTTCTCCCCCAGACTTGGTTCTCCAAGAATTCATCTTCCCCTTAGGAAGCATACTCCCTCACCTCCCCCTCCCACACACAAGAGGAAGGAAAATCCAAAAATTCTTTCATTGTCCTCTCTAACTTTCAGTCTTACAGATGACCTCTCAGACCCCAAGGGGGAAAGTAATTATAAATTGAACTATTCAGCTTGGACAGAATGAATTTACTTTTTGGAAGATCTTTCAGAAACTAACATGGGGCCTTGTATAAAAAGAACTTAATAAAAGTTTATTGAATGACCAAGCTTGGATGACCCCTAAAAGTATCTAACTATCCTAGGATTGGACCTCTAGATCTGTGGTATGCTACCAATGTTTCTATTTTCAGGGGGGAACTAGGTGATGCAGTGGATAGAGTGCCAAGCTTGGAATCAAGAATCCTGCCTCAGATACTTACTTGACTGGGCAAGTCATTAAAAAAAAAAACTGTTTGCCTCAGTTTCCCCATCTGTTAAAAATGAGGATAATAATGACACTTCCCTCCCAGGGTTGTTGTGAGCATCAGAGAGATAATGATTGTAAAGCATGTAACACAGTGCTGGAACATGGTAAGCATTGTCAACTAAATGTTATTTACCTTTAATATTTTCTGGAGACTAGAGATTTCTCTTTCCTTCCCTACAGGCAAAGAGGACAACAGAAAACAGCATTAGTTTCCCCTGTGATCTGGCCACCATGCATCAGGGACATGGTGTTAGCCAAGGACCTCTCAGCCTAGCACATGTGTGGCGACAGCCTCCCCGCCTTCTCATTGTGGATGCTGCATGTCCCTCATGGGGCAGAGTCTGTTCCAATCTCTGTGAGGCTCTGCAGAATTTCTTCTCTCTAGCCTGCAGCCTGGAAGGCCCTAGCCGCATGCCCTTGTTCAGCATGTATGTGGTTCAGAGTCGACATGAGTGTATCCTTCCTTTTGTGGTGAGTAGAACCAGAAGAAGGTTCCTCAGAGGGCTTGAGAATGGTCATGCCTGAGATGGGTTCTAGTTGTGCCACAAACAGGAAGTCAGAGCAGCTAAGGCTTAGGAAAGGAAGGCAGCATCTTACTACTAAACAGTGAGGAAAGCGAATCTGTTGGAGAGGCAGATAAGCTAGGTTCCTGCACAAAATCCCACTCTGATGCTCCATTGTAATCTGGTGATGACTCTGAGCTCTTAAAGGGGATGAGAGCAGTAGTTTCTACTGAGCTGGAAAGGCTTCAAGTACAGTCTCAGTTACAGACTGTTTGCATTCTGAGGACCAGCCTAGCTAACTGTGAAAAGGTTCATCACCACTAGTCTGTCCACTTGGGATTGACTTCTTTGGCTATCACAATGCATGACACAAAGAAAAATACAAAACGGCAGAAGGGCCACCCCTCCTTATGCAATGACAATAGCAGAATTATATAAAAAGAGGCAGAAGGGGGTTAGAACCACATTTTTAGATTGTCTATAAACATTAGTTTAACTATTGGTACTCTGAATGTAAGGTCCTTGTCCTTTGACCAATGAGCAGCCATAAATGAAAGCAGAAGACACAGAGAAGGTGCTGTTAAATGGAAGCATGGCATATCAGTCTTCCAGGGGAAGCAAATAAAGAAAGGAATTGGTGGAGTTGGTTTACTTGTGTGTCCAAAGACAATAGAAATATTATTTCATGGATGCCTGGTCATCATGTTACAGTGCTTATAAGTAGCATAAAATGAGCTCATTATACTAATAAGCATTGGTTAAAAAAAAAATCACCGTAAAGGTGATCAGAGCTTTTGTGCTAACATCTGTTGGAGAGGATGAAGAGGTATAGAAACTCTATGAAGAACTTGTTGAGACCTTCCCAACTAAATTAATATGTACTTTTAATATGACTGACTTAAAAACAAATGTGGGACAGAAGGGAAGGGGGCAAAAAGAATGTTGATCGAAGCATACTGTTTGCTATTTGCTATTTTTTTCTTCTGTTTTGTTTTCTCTTTCTTGTGGTTCCTCCTATTGGTTCTCATTCTTCCTTACAACATCACTAATGTGAAAATATGTTTAATAGGAATGTATATGTATAGCCTGTATCAGATTGCATGCCATCTTTGGGAGGGAGGTGGGGAAAGAGAGGGAGAAAAATTTAAAACTCAAAAGCTTATGGAAGTGATTGTTGATAAATCAAAATAAATTAATAAAAAAGGAACAAAAAATTAACACATCAAAATGGAAAAAAGGTTGAAAATATAGCTCAAGAGTAGGAAAAGAGAGGCTAACAGTTTATATACTGTACCAAAACCTGATACCTATATATCATGAATAAATTCTTCTTAAAGATAGCACTAAATGACAAACAGCAAATCACATCATAAAAATGACATCAATTATATCATAAGAGACAAGAAACAGCTGGCTACTGATGTGGAAATTATTTCTAAATCAGCTTTCTGTGTATGGTGAAACCATCAGCTTGTTTAGGGCAAAGATCAAAATCAGTGCCAAACTGAAGAAAGAATGAAAGTGAGAAGATATGGTATACAATTAAATCAGCGGCAACCTTGCTTATACAAGCTATTGACACTAAATTAAGGAAATCAAGCTATTGACACTAAATTAAGGAATAGACATTCACACAATCACCATTTCCTAAGGAATTTTAACTTGTGTGAACAACTGCACAGTAGTCCAAAATAGGGTCTCCAGGCCCTCGATTTCTGTGAGTAGATTATAGGGAGTCCATGGACTTGGATAAGAAAAGGTTATGTCTTTATTCCAGTATAATTTATATCCTTTGCAATCCTATATATTTTATTTTATGTATTTAAAAAGGTTATTCTGAGAAGCGGTCCATAGGTTTCACCAGACTGCCTAGAAACTGCTTTAGTGACAAAACACTTGATTTCTTTGCAAAGCAGTGAGATGTGGAAGACAAAGGCAAAAGCAATTTAGAATATAAACACAAAAACTTAGGTAGAAGGATGGCAGAAAATTATGGGCAGTATCATCTTGTTGTGGTCTGAGAGGTTGAGACCCCTCAAAGACTGGAGTACTGGACGGGGTCGTCTGGAATGAATTCACAGACTCAAGCATTCTTTAAGTCAAGGTGGCAAAGATTTATTGTTACGTTTTTCAGTAGGCAAGGATTCTTAAGGAACCTGCAAGAGACTGAGGATGGAACTAGGGTTTATATGGAAAAGGGCATGGGAAAGGAATGCCAGGGACACTGATGAGGTAATCTAAAGGTGCAGGTGTCTTTGGGAGTTATGGATGGAAAAGTACAGGGAGGGAGATGACAGAGATATGGATCTTTGGAGTCTGGCAGGAGGAAGAGTCCTTGGGCCAGTCAAGTACAAAACTCCTTGGGCTGGGCAAGGCACCCCTCTCCCTCTGTCTTGATGAGAGAATGCTCTGCAACAAGGGGAAGCTTTCTCACAAGACAGGAACTTACTAAGGAATTGGGAGGCTTCCAGAGACATGATCTGAAGGCCGGGGCCTGAGCAGCCCAGCACACTCTCACCCAGCTTTGTGTAGCTGCACCAGGGAGAGAGAGAAGGGTCTTGCTGGGGCCCACGCATGAGTAATTGCTAGGCACAGTGTCCTTGGGCTGGGGAGTGGTTGTCAGAGACAGTGTTTCTGAGACTAGGGAGAAATTGGGGTCCAAGTACAAGCACAAGCACCCAAGCACAAGCACCCAAACACCCCATCATTCTCCCCTTAAACAGATGGGACCCAAAATCTTTTGGGGTGAGGGACGAAGGTCTCAGCTTCTGAAACTGCTTCTTGCTGGAATTGGGTGTAGAGTTGTCCTGGCCTTGTGGGGTCCCTCCATTCCAGGGGTTGGTGTTTTAGCCAGTGTCCAGAACTTGGCTGATGCCAGGTCCAAGGGGTGATGGACTGTGGTCCCAGACAGAGGTTGGTACCCAACCTGAGCAGTCATCTGGAATTGGAGGGCATTGAGCCTAGAGGAGACAAATCTAACAAGAAGATTAAGCAGACAAGGGCCAAAAAGAAGTAAAAGGAATATAATCAGGAGTGGGACAAGAATAGGAGTTAACATAAAGAGAATCCAGGATCCCCAAGAAGAGGATGATCCTGGTATACTAAGGTATTCATGGATGTCTCATATCCAGGTGACTTTCTCTAGTCCTATTGAGCTCCACCTATTGAAAGTTGTTAATATACATACAGCAGGAGGTGTTGGCCAGGACACAGACACCTCCACTAAGCAAGTAGATAATCCAAAGCTATCTGATCATCCAGAACCACATTTGCCAGGGAATCCAGAGGTTGTTGAATGTCCTGGGGACTATAAGCTGTGTCATTTGCCAATTGGTGAATGGTCCCTATTAGGTTTGAAAGAATGAACTCATGTTGTAACTGTCCATACCAAGGCATGAGATACTCTGTTCCCTTTTAAGGTACCAGAGAATGTTGTCCCAGAATCCATGCTTCACTTTTGTTAGGGTAGAGGGACTAGGTGTAAAATGGTCACAGGGGGTGCCAAAAATCCAAGGGAGCACACACCAAAATCCTTATAAGGTGTTAAACACTGAGTGGCTAGAACAACAGTCTTGGGGTCCTGCCAAGTGGTGGCATTTCGCTTTACTTCTTCCCCAGAATTCTCACCACCTGGCCCACCCATCCCACGAAGGAAGGAATGTCCCTTAGGGGTACAGATGGGGCTTGTTTGTAAAAGGTACTGAACACGGATGCCCCATGGATCAGTATGATTACATGCTAATATTCCAGGTAAGAGAGAAGCTTTCAAAAGATCAACAAGAGTGTGATAGCTAGAAGGGGTGCTGTAGCATTGTGTGTCAACTGGGAAGAGAAGGTTAAATAGGGAGAGCCTACTAGGAGAGTGGCAGGAGGAATTTGGTCATAGGTGCAAGTAGGGAGTGCTCCCTCAAAACATGTGGTACAGCCGGCAGAGGTAAAGTTCTGGGGGCACTCATCACTGTAGGCATCCTTATAGATGGTACAAGTCAAGAGACCAGCAGAGACATTTACATTCCTTCCCCACTAAGGGTCTTTACCTGTACAGAGGCTATAGAGCTTGTCTCCCAAGCAAGGGAATAATTCCCTGTTGAGAAACAGAGTGTTGAGATAGAAAAATTTTCCCATAAAGGAGTGACCAGTACAAAAAGGAGTGGCAGAGACCTCTGAGTTGGTTACATTAGGGAGGGGGTTTCTTGCAAAAACTGCCAGAAACAAAAGAGGTTCCTAACTTTAACCTCATAACTGAATAGATACACAATTTTGTTCCACAAGTTTGTTTATCCTTCTCTAACTGTACTTCAGAAATTGAATCTTTTACATATGATAAATTCAAACGCTGATTTTACTCTTACTAAGGCCATGGGATGACTATAAATTCAGACCAAAACAACAAGATCTCACATACTTACATTGTGCTCATGTCTTTTACTGACCACTTGCTCTGATCAGAGAAATCTGCTATAAAAGGAAAAGGCAGGGACATGTGACATACCAAAGATGACAAGATAGAACATCCTTAGCTCTGTTTGAATTCAGATATGAGTCACAGTTCTCCAATCATACAGTATCAATTTTACGTCATAACCAGATTCAGGAATAGTCAGGTGAGAAACATTCCTTCTCAAAGGAACGTAATGGGGAAACTGAGCCAGGAGGATCCCATCCTAGATTGAGGCTAAGATTGTCCTCACGGCTTTTTCCCAGATGCAGACCTCCACCTGTTAACGGTACAGGATCACATTCCCTCTGAGTAGCTTGCGGCATTTCTCTCAGATACTGATTTAACGCAGACTACTATACCCAAATTCAAACTCAAAACAAAATTAGTTATAGTCCCAAGAGCCTTTTACCTCAAACAGCAAGTTTCACTAATCACAGGAACTTCACAAAACCTAACAAACCAGATCCATAATCAGCCACCTCCTTAAAAATCAGTGAGAGCTTCTCACTTTTTTTTTTTTAAGGCAG